ATCTCTCTGCCCCTAGGACCCGAGCCCTAAACCACTAGGCCAATGTCAGTGAGCACAATGACAGGGATGTGACCAGATGGGGGCCTCTCTACCCACCTGGGTTAAGGAATCAGAGAGAGCCTCCTGGAGGAGGTGGGGTCCAACCTGAACCTTGAAAACTGAGCTGGGGTTTTCCAGGTAAATGTGGAAGCCTTGGGAATGAAGGAAGCAAGGGAAGACATTCCGGGTAGAGGAGGCGGCCCAGGCAAGGGCAAGGTGAGAAGCGTGGCAGGCTGGAGCACGCAGGGTCAGCCGGAGTGATGGGCCTGCATCCCTCCGGGGTTCCCACCACATCAGCTCTGTCTCCCCACGCCTTGTTAGTAGTGTATGTTGGTAACATCTGCCGTGCTCTCTCTTTGAGGAGAGGAGGGGGCGGGGATGAGGTGTTCTGCATGCTCTCCCCTTCAGGTTTGGGGGCCAGGAACACAGAGGGGGAAGGAGGCCTGAGCCAGCGGGCTGTCAGCTTGGCACTCCTTGGTGGGAACATTTCGTGAACATTGAGGTCAGGCAGAAGGCGGGACATCTATGACCTTGATTCTACATATGGTGTTCAATGTCACGGTGAGGAGGGGCTCGAGGACTCAAGGATCCACTTGCCATCTGTCTTAATCAGCCCAAATGTCCCCTTGGGCGGGGAGATAGGGCCATGTGCTCTGCATTTAGGTAAACTGAGGCACAGAGAAGGTAAAGCAGGTGCTGAGGAAGAAGGGTGCTCAAAGACACACCTTCATGGCCTTTTCTTGATTTCCCTGTCAAGCCCAAGACCAAGACTCCTGTGCATGTAAGGTCTTGGATAAAAAGTTTAATGTTCATCTATTTCAAAATCAAGAGGATCAAGATTGGATTAATGATCATATCAAAGTCTGATGCTAGAACAGAACTCACTCTCTTCAAGCACTTGTAGATATTCTGAGAGAAGCATTTCCTTCTCCCAGGAAGCTGGTGGGGCGGGCAAGTCACCCCCCCAGTTACAGATGAGGAACCTGAGGTTCAGAGAATCTAAATGACTTGCTCCAGATCACCCTGCCTGAGAATGGCAGAGCTGGGATGGGGGCTTGGGTCCTCAGACCCTAGGTCTGTGTTTTCTAGACAGGATACCCACAGCTTCTCTGTGGAAGCTTCCAGAGGGTCTCAGGGACATCAGCTCCCAGCTCCACCCCTCACCCCCGGGCCTCCTGCTCCTCAACATCTCCTTCTACAGGGACTCACCACGTAACCCACAAAGATCCCCCGGGAACATCAGCCACGGGGTGCACCCACCACCAAGCAATTACATAGGGCAGCCGTTTCTCAGACCATACCCTGCATGCCTCTGAATCACCTGGATCTCTTGTTAAAATGCAGTTTCTGACTCAGCAGTCTGGGGCTGGGCCTGGGATTCTGCATTTTTAACAAGGTGAGTCCAAGGACTACACTTTAGGTAGCAAGTGGGGACCTGTAGGATCGCTTTAAACACCACCCGCCTGGTCTGTGGCCAGCACCCCACCCCCTTGCTCTTCCCCACCTCCCCCCTTCCTCACCATCTCTCTCCTGAGGCTCAAGGGTTAGCTTTTGTCTCCAGAGGCACAAGGAGAGTGTTTTGGGGCACTGTGGGGCTGCTCCCCATACCCAACAGCACAAGGGTTGAGAAGCCTCTGTGGGTACCACCTCCCCCGCCCCTGGGCCCTGCAGCGTGGCCAGGCTGGCCCTCTCCCGCTGGCCCAGAATGGAGGGTGGAGGGCTGCCTGTCCTCTCCTGCAGTCCTCATTGAAATTTTGCCCTTGCCCTCGGATCCTTGGTTGAGAGCTCATCCCTATTAATTCTCATTGTGCATTTAGAGCGGATAGGTTTTTATTTATTCATTTATCTTGGTCTTCTCCCCCCTCCCCTTCCTCGCCAGGCTGGAATTTACAATTCAGTTCTCAGGTGGCCTTGCGGAAGGACGGGAAGCCTGGCGGGAGGGAGGGTCTGCACCCTGAACCCTGAAAATGGTGGCTGCCTCATGGCCCCCCTTGCACCCTGGGGCTGCTCCAGGGCTCACACACCCGTTGGCTGGATGTGGGGACAGGTCCAGCAGTGGCCACAGGGACCCCCTGGGCACTGGCCCGGCTAACAGGTCAGTGGGTGGCTGGCTACCATTAGGGCGCCCCCTGGTGGTTCACACCGCCGACCATGCCTGCAAGAGTCCGAGCTCCCTGACCACCCAGCGTAGGCCAGCTGCCCAGAGACCAGAAATACGGGGCGCGGCGTCCTCCAGGCTGGACAGAGGCAAAGAAGAAAAGCCAGGGACACAGCTGAGGGCGTCCTAACAATAATAATAAGCTCATAACACCTACTGCACATTGAGCCCCTACTGTGTGCCAGGCGGCTCCCCCGGCCAGCCCTGTGCCCCGCATACAGTATTAGCCTTTACAGGGGAGGGAACTGAAGCTCAGAGAGGGGAGGCCGAGCCACCTGGGGAGTAAGCACAGGCTCTGGCTGCAGATAAGTTGCCCGCCCCCCCTCAACTGCCTTTGAAACTGAGTGACCTTGGCAGGATTTAGGCAACACTGTCTAATCCCTAAAACAGGATTAGAACACTACCCACCTCAGAGCATCCTGGAGATGATTAAATGAGACCCACACAGGACCTGCTCAGGGGAGCCTGCACAAGGGTTTGAATCTATCTGGATGTGACCCCCTGCTCCCTGCAGAAGCCAGCCCCCCTCCGCCTGCCAGGCACAGTCCCCATTCTTGTTGGCCGCACATTTATAATCAAAGGCAGAGCGGGATGGCAGCCTGTAATGAAATATTTAAGTCCATCAGACAGGTGTGGAGACACTGAGGACCCACCTATGTGGGAGATGTTGAAGACGCTACTCTTCCCCTCCTGTCTTCCCAGGAAAGAAGGGCTCCCAGCTCCTCCCAGACCCCAGCGCTCAATGACACCTGCCTGGGCAGGTGGGGCAGCCTTAGGATTAGGGGGGTGGTGACGTGACCACCCCACCCTGGCAGCTGCCCTGGGTCCTCCCTGTGAGAGTGGGTGGGGGCAGGGCAGACGTCCAGAGCTAAGGGCATCCTGAGCCAGCTTTGGCCAGGAGAGGGCCTCAGACTTGCATCTGATGGCCATCTCCACCCCTCAAGCCCTTGACCAGAAGCTGGTCCAATGAATTATGATTTAGCTGCCCTGTCCCACACCCTTCCCCCCAGTACATTAAGGCAATGATTAATATTTAAAAGAAGGAATACAGTCAAGACTCTAATACGAGAGGCAGAGGTTGACTGTTCGGGGAATGTGTAGAGAAGTCTTTGCATGAACTGGGCTGGGTTGCCAGCCTAATGTTCAGGCTCAGACCTGGGCTCCACTGCCCTCCCGCCCCCCGCCCCACAACATGGCTTTGCCCCTGACCTTCAGGAGCTAACCCCCTCGCTCATCCCTGAGCCAGTGAGGCCCTGGGATCCCCAGTGCAGTGGTCCCCAGGAGCTATCCAGCAACCTCCCCCCAGCCCTGTGTTGCTTTCTTCCCTCCCTCCCTCCCTCCCTCCCCAGCTGGCTCCCTCGGCCCAGCCACCATCCACAGTGATAGCCTCACGACTGACTGCTGACTGTCCAAGCGGGAAGCTACCTTCCCAGGCTGACTGCTCTGTGATAGGAATGCAGCTCCCCATGGGACTGAGGCGTCCTCAGGAGCCCCGTGGGGATACCTGCTCAGTCCAGCCATAAGCCCAGAGACCCGGAGCCTCCCTCAAGGACACATGGAGACTGCAGCCACCCCAAAGGTGACGATGAGCCCCTCCCATCAGCTCCTGCAGCCTGGCTGCCCGGCCCAGCCTCCTGCCGGGCACGGGGGTGGGGGTGGGGGTCAAAGGCACTGCCAAGTGGGAAGGCCCCTCTCGGCAGGCAGCTTAGCTCAGTGACTTCGGAGCCAGACACTTGAATCACAGCTTTACCACTTCCTGGTGGGACTTTGAGCCTCAGTTTCTCCATCTGTACAACAAGAATGACAAGAGCTACCATCTGTGGGGCACTGCTCTGTGTCAGGCCCTACTCAGCATTTTACATGTGTGAATCAGCTCACTTGCCCCTACAATGCCCATTTTACAGACGATGGATCAGAGGCCCAGAGCTGCCACTGGTTCAGAGCCCACCCCCCAAACTCCTCCTTTATACAGCAGAGAATCAGCCTGGCTGAGCTGACGGGGGGACTTGCATAGCAAGCTCTTAGCCCGCACGCAAGGGGCTCCCATGAATGGTCCCGGCTATTATGACCGCTGTTGTTGTTGGTAACACTGACTACTGAAGTAGTCCATGGCTCTAAGACCCCATCCTCCTCTAATTAAGGGCTCAAGTGACAACCCCTGAGCAGCCGCCGTCCCCTTGACTTAGCCAGTGGCTGCAGTCACCGAACATAGGGGTGGGGTTGAAAAGAGAGCCAGCCACACCGTCCATCCTGGTCTGACTCCTTCCACCCTTATGAATCCCCCCTGCACATCCATCAAACCTTCCCCCCGCAGAGTTCCAGCTCTGTGAGTGGCATACGCTGACCTGGCAAAACCGTCTGCTGCATTGGATCAGGTGGGATAGGACGTGGTCCCGCAGAAGGATTGAACAGAGTGCAACATTGCAAAGAGTGCGTGCCCTGCTCCCTCGCCCAGGATCCTGACTTCCTGACTACGGAGGCGGGGCTTGTCTGCACCGGCCAGCCCAGGAACTATCACTACCATGGTCTTCCCAAGAGAAAACGATCTGGTGGTCAGCTGGTCAAGAAGGTACCCATCCCAGAGAATGACATCACATGACCACAGAGCCCTGGGGGTGGCCTTTGCTTTGGCACTTCTCCAAGGTGGGACAGCCATCTGCTCCCAATCCGAGATGCGGGAAAGTCAACCTTGCATCTGGTCCTCCCATTCTGCTCAGCCATCACCAGTCTGTCCCAGACCCCCTCCCCCTTGGCCTGAGCAAACAGAACAGCGGGGGGTGGGGGGGCTGCTGACTTACGTGGGAGCAGAATCTCTCAGGGGGGTCTCCGCACGTGATGCCTGAGGGCTCCACCTTCACCTTGACGTAGTCCTTCAGCCGCATCACCTTGGGCTGGCAGGCGTAGAACTCCCAGGTGGGGCCCTCATCGGTGGTCACCCAGGATTTGCAGATGTCGTAGTCCCCAGAGGCCAGTGGGAGGCAGTGCAGGAAAAGTGCGAGCAGGTGCAGCATGGCTGAGCAGTCCGCAGGGGCGTGGCCCAGAGAGGCCCTGGAGAGGCAGCGACTGGGTCAGGCGGGACTCTCGGCCTCAGCATGGAAAGTGCCACATCTACCAGGCAACGGTGGCTGGATGTCCCAGGGACTCGAACACGGCCGGGTTGCAAAGAGCGAGGAACTTGTTTCTTCCCAAAGGCTGACTCGGAAAACTCAGAGCCAGCGTTTCTCAGACTGCTGATGGGCAGATCAAAAAGTTGCCCATAACTTTGTGTCCTCCTAACCTTGGCATTGCACCTCTCCCAGAGGTGAATCTGATCAAATCAGGCAGGCTCTCAAATTGTGACAGTGGATGGAAATGGGAAAGGGAGCAAATCCTCAGGGATCTGGCATGAGGTCGGATCAGATTGCTTTTAATTTTTGTCCTTCCAATCAATCCAGGTCTTTAAAGGGCCCTGAATGTGTGATGTGCTCAACACAACTGCAAAACAACCCTCCAGCCTGCATTGTAAAGATAAAATAAAATCAGGAGGTGTACGTGTTAGCTGGAAACATGTTCCCTCTGTGGGGCTGGGCTGGCATCTCAGACCAATAAAAGAGATTTCTTTTCATGTGGGCTTAAAGTGACAACAATTGTGTGGCTGGACTGCAACATAAAAAAGCGACTGAGGTTTTTAACTGGGGAGAAGCTTATTTGGCTCTGCTTTGTGGGGACAGGCACTAATGGGGGCCAGCTGACCTTGGCTGGTAGCCATCGGCAACTTATTATGAAGTTTCTGACACTTCGGCTCTCAATCCATCCAGGTACCCGGGGGCTGGCTTGTCTTTCATTGTAAGAGGGGAGGAGAGAGAGCTCATTAGCAACAACACCTGCAACAAATTAAAAAGAGAAGGGGGGGAACGATAAAGATGTATAAGAACAAAAGCTCTCTGGCAAAATGTGCAAAAGATGAAGCTGCATTAGCAAGGTCTCCCGAGAAAACTGGGTTATTTTTATTAATATCAGAGTTGCACATTTGGAGATTGGGCACATTATTTAAAAGGTGACTCATTTTCCCCCCCTCTCTTCTGGGGGTGTTAGGGCAGCAGAAGTGCCCCTGCTTGGGGTCACCGACTTCCCAGGACATGCTCAGGGGTCAAGATTGAGTGGTGGCTTTGAATACCGTGACCAAAAAGTCAAAATGCCAAAGCTGTCACCATAGGAGCCGACGAGCCTCTACAGACAGGTACAGATCCAAGTGGGGGCCAACAAGTAAGAACCGGGTGCCGATAAATCTCTCCCCAAATTCTGCAATGGTCAATTTAATTTTCAGCGCTAAGAAACTAGGGACAGTGAGGACTTCCGCAGAAGTGACGATGGTTTGTCATATTAGATTTTTCTGATCAAGGCCAAAATTTTGCAATCATCTTCGGAGGGTGTGTCTACAAATGAGTCACTATTATGATTATTGCTTTACTATTTTAAGCTACTGATAATTATTTAAGAGCCCAAATAGCTATAACTGAGACAAATGTTACATTGCAGAAAACATGACTCCAGTAATGTGGTGTGTTCCCAGACACTGGATACATCACCAGGAGAATCTGAGTCCGGCCAGTGTGGGATCCTGGCCAAAAATACTAGCCAACAGGGCAAAGGTTATGCAATGAGTCACAGAAGAAGCACCCGCGTTATTAATTATTCTGATTATTATACCTATGATTATTGCCTCTTAATCCCCAAACTGCTTCGGCATTGCTGCTAACCTCAGCATGATTCTCACCTGACACCTTCTCGGGCCACATTGTGCACAGATGAGTCCCTGAAGAGTTAATCACGTTTCCATGAAACCCATTCTCCCCCCAGACACAACACACTGCTGCCAAAAATGACAAACCGGGGAGGTGGACATTGTCCAGAGGGGGCTGGCCCCTCACCTGCGCTGCCCGAAGAAGCCCCCAGCCAGTGCCCCATGCTCTTGGTCGGGGGCGGGGTGGGGGGGAATCATAAATCTGCATTAAGGCCACCCCTGCCCCCTTTCTCTGGCTGAAGGGCTCTTGATGGAGATGAATGAGGAGCCGAGGGGGGACCACATTTTCACTGCTCACCTCTGGCTGTTTAAAGAGAAACCTGTTATAGAACCTGCCTGGCCTTGAATGGGCTCCTTGCTAGAAACTCTCAGAAAGAACCCGCCTGGCGACTATTTTTACAACCTGAGAAAATGTAGTAAAAATAAAATAGCGCTGCCGGCAAAGGTTTGGATGCCTCTACCCAAGCTTCGAGCTGCCCAGAAAACAGCAGGTCCCTAATTAATTCTTCCAGCCGAGGACTCCCAACTGTTCACTAACAGGTAGGGAGCTCCTGACGGGAGGCGACACCGGGCGCTGGCTGTGGGCTTCCTTCATCTGCAGGACCAGCGGCTACTCGGGGGTTGGGCTGCGCTGTCCGCCGCACCCGCGCGGGGAGGCAGCGAGGCCGGGAGGCCGGGAGGCCACCGAGAGCGAAGTGCGGAGCAACTCGGAAATCTATTAATTGGTTTGCAGTTCTTTTGGTTTAAATGCTGCGCACTCCCTGGAAAATGGGGTGTTCGGGGGGGTAGCCAACAACAACCCAATCTGCTGGGGGCGGGGTAACAAATGTGTTTACAACTAGTCAATCAACGGGGCGTTGCTGGTATTATAGGGAGAATTGTGAGCTCAGCAAGCGAATATTACAGTCGGCTTCTGCCAAAAAGAAAAACAAAGAAACAAAACACACACACACACACACACACACAAACAAGGAGGGAGGAGAGAAGCAAGAGTCTCCGGAATAACGAGGCGGAAAGCAGGGAGTGAGAAGCCAGCCAGGGAAATTTCAGAGTAAGAGGTTGTATCCGGGTGGATCGTTTTCTCCTTGGAAAATAAATCTTCACCTGATATTATTAAGAAACTGCAGCTCCCAGAAACAAATAGAATCAATGCGCTTTATTTCTTTTAAGAGTCCTCAGGAACCGAGGGGGGCTGATAGCCAGGGTATTAAAACCCGAAAATTAGATTTTACCAGGATTTCTGAACTCTGATTTCTCTGTCTTATTGAATTAGCGCCTCTCGGAGCTGGCTGGGCTCGGAGCAGGCTCCTCCCGGAGTTGCCGGCTGCGCCCTCGCCTCGTGGGAAACTTGGCGCTGTGGGTGCGAGGCCCCTGGAGGGCACTGGAGGAGGGGTACCCGGGGCTGCCCACCCCGAGGTTCCCTCTCCCTTCCCATCGGGGGCAGCCGGGCGGAGTGAGATCTGCCTTCAAGAGGGTGGTGCCCGAGGGCTAGGAAGGAAAGGGGAGCCCGCCGCGGCCGGGTCACCTTCCCGCCCTCCACCCCCGGCCGGGTCCCCGGGGGTTCTCCGGGCACCGCTGGAGCTTAGCTACCCACGGCCCGGGTGCCCCCTAGCCCTGGAACAGGGGCCCTATCAGTTCCCGGCGTCCCCTACGGCCTCTTGGCGGCCGGGGAGCCCCGGAAAGTTGAGGGCTGGGGGGTGGGGCGCGAGAAGGAGGCCTCGGCTGGGCGCGGGGGGTGGGGGTCGGTCCTGGCTGGGCCGAGGGGTCGGGGTGGAGTCCGAGCTTCGGGTGGGCTGGACAGGGGCGTGCATCGCACAGGGGCGTGCCCCACAGTCCCGCAGCTGCGTTTTGTCTTTCCCAAGTTGAGTGCAAGCCCCGGCAGCAATTAATAAGCACGCCTTTAATAAAGGCCCCGCCGGCACCGAGGATGCCCGCTCCGTTGCCACCGCCTCCCTCAATTAGAGAAGGCACCGAGCAAAGCGCCCGGGAATTAGTTGCCTTCTTTTTCCCGGCGCCGCTTTCCAGCAGCGCCCCGGCCTCCGCCGCCCCCCGCCCGGGCGGGCAACTTACTCGGAGCGGGCGGACCCCGCGAGCCCACGGTCCTCTTCCCGCCTTCCCGCTGCCTCTGCTCCCCCAGTCTGCGCGCCGCCCTGTTCCAGGTTCCACTCCACACGTCCCCTAGCCGGTCCCTGCTCAGCGCCCTCCCCCATTAGCCCACCCCTCCCCCGCACGGAAAGAAGTTTCCAGCCTGGCTGGCCAAGAGTTTCTCTGTGCAACTCACACAGACCCAGTTTTCGGAGAGATGGGAAGGGGATGCGAGGAAGAGGGGGGGCGGGGGGGGGCTGTCGATGCTGGCGATTAAATTGGGGTGGAGGAGTAGCGCGAGAGAAGGGTTAATTTTCTTTTCACAAACACAGGCACGCATTCTTGCAACATCTATCCCCACCACACACACACACACGCGCGCGCGCGCGCGCGCGCACACACACACACACACGCGCGCGCTCACACACACGATGGAAAAAGACCCTGGTAGGAAAAAGCCAGCCGGAAAGACAAGCTTTTCCTTTAAGATGCTCCCACAAATGCACACTCACACACCCCTCTCGGGCGACTCCAGCCCTCCGCTAGTAACAGCAGCTACCGAATAACTTTTGCATCCGAGCCTTTGCTGGGCCGCTTTAAGTGGCTCCCGGGGCCCGGGGAAGCTTGCATGGTCACCGAAGCCCTTTAAAAATGAAACCAGGCTGGCAAAGCTGCAGCCGCTCTCCCCCCCGCGCGCCCGCCGGCTCTCCCCGCCCGCCTTACCCCGGCTCGGAGCAGCTTCCCGGAGCGCAGACCCGGGAGGCCGAGGACCGCCGCCCGCGGGCGCTCCGCCTGCCCT